CTAGAGGTGTTGCCCTGCCTTGATCACGCGGGCACCTCTTCCACTTCATGATGAGGTGTTGCTGTGCATTTCCAAATGTGTGATTTGGTTGATCAGTGATATCCAGATCATGGATGGAGATATCTGTGAGTATTCTGATGGGGTTGAGGACACAGAGCTCCTAGAGTCTTGTGTGATTATCCTACCAGATGAAGAATTTTCCCTACTACAGTGCCAAAAGGATTACCACAGACACGCCCTGTGATGTTGGCTTCCCTGCCTTAGCTGAGAAAGCCAATCCTGTGTTACCACGCATGATAATGGGATAACCCTTTAGACCCACTCTACACCCATATTTTGGGCACCGCTTTTAGATTTTTCAGTCAATGGTCATTGGCTCCAAGGCAGAATGGCATGTCATGGTGACATGCCAGAGGAGGCTTTCTCACAGTATGGCAGTGGGAAGTGAACAGGAATATGGGAGAAGGTGGTACATATTCCTTCCCAGGCCACCCCAGGGTGACTCACCTCAAACTGAGAAGATTTCCCTCTGACATCACAGACAGCCTTGAGTGCCTCCCCTGCTCTAACTCAGTCAGGAGCATCACACAGCCATGATCCACTTGCCTCTCAAAATATACACCACTGAGTGCATTTGGGTTTTGGGTACAGAGGGATCCAAATCTAAAACAGAAAAGGTCATTGGTTTATTCATAATAGTCAGCCAGAGAGGAAACCTCCAATTTTGGCTCTGCTTTCACCATAAAGTTGGCTTGTGAGTTATTTAAGTCTTGAATTAATGTACTTGTCCTGTGCACTCCTGAAGGGAAGGTTCTGTCTGCACTTACATTGATGTCTTTGTACAGTGTCATTGGGCAGTAGAGTGTGTCTGTGTCCTCAGAAGTCACAGAGCTCGTACAATTGAAGAACTTCTCCTGAAGACATCTTTGCAGATGGAGATGTGGCCCTTGAGAGATAGATTCTACTTGGAGTTTTAATCATGTCTTCCATGCTGCATTCACACCAGTACCTTCCTTAGTTTATGACCGATGCATTTCCATCAGTTAATATGTGATGGAGTAATTGGAGGCCATGCTGGGGGGGAATGCATAGTCTGTGAGAGCTTTGCAGGGCCAGGTACTAACTCCTACGCTTGTAATTGGGACTGGACACTTAGGAACAAGAAGAATCATACCCCATCAGTCAATTGCTTTCCTAACTTCTCTATGTGTGATTGTTAATTGTGATAGGCCAGCCTAAATAGATTAGGAAGTGTCTATGAGATTAGTAGAGCACAGCTCTGACTGTGTCTGTGAATTATTGTCATGTATCCCCCAAACTGAGAGGGTAAGATGCCTGCTGGATGCAGATGTCACCAACCTATTAGCTTGTAGGCTTAAAGGAATAAAAACAGAAAGAAGGAAGGTGACACTTTATTCTTCAGGGGAGATCCAATCTTCACTGTTGACACTGAATGCTCTTTGTTCTTTCACGCAACCTGTGCAGACTTTTAAGCCTCACAGTTCAAACCCTTACATTTTCCAACATGCAAACTCACTGGACACCATACAAGTTCCAAGTTCTTTGTTTTCAACTGGATCCTCCTACTCTCATGCTCACACATAGTTATTTTACAGTCTTCCATTCTGGATTCCGTGGGCAGTCATCATTAGCCTACTTAGTAGATCCTTTCTATTTAAAGGTGTCCTTCTAATGAACTCTAGCTGACATAGCAAGCAACCATCTGAGGGACCTATGACATTTATGTCTCACTAGGCACAGGAGAAGACCCAACAGTCTCACCTTCTAGGCCATATGCCCACCTCCTTCAAAGACATAAGTCTTTTCTGAAGAGAGAATTCTGATGTCTCAAATATTTGGAGGGTTATTCAATGGTCACTGGATCCATAGCTTCTGTGCCTGTGATGAGGCAGAACAGCATGGCAGGATGGCACAGCATAGACTCATGTCCAGTCATTGTGAAGAGGCAAGGTCCCAGTGTGCTCTTCCCAGGACACATACTCAGGTGCCTTCTTAAAGCCAAACATTCACCTCCTGATTTCCCCCTAACCTCCTAATAACAATCACAGTTAGGGACCCAGCCTTCACCACACATTCATTTAAGGACCCTGAGTTCTAAACTGTAACAATTAATGTTAAGGGGTGCTCTTTCATTCTCAGCAGTCCAGAGAAAACTCCTACAGCTCCACTTTAGATAAAACACATGGGTTTCCACTGGGCTCTACAAAGCATAATCAGTTCATAGATCACTGACTGTAACCCTCAGGTCAATCATTTCTAAACACTTAAAATTGATAAAGGCCCAGCACTCAGAAGGTCGAGGCAGGTGTATCATTGCAAATTTGAGATCAGCCTGGGCTACAATGTGAACCAAAGGCCAGCCTGAACCACATAGTGAGAACCTGTCTCAAAAAGACAGAAAATAATTAGGTTATACATAGGATAATTATGTTATTTATATTACATTCTATTCTTTTGGATTACAGAATGCACTTGAAGTGCATATTCTTCTAAAAGTTTTTTTTTTTTTTACTATTTTCCCCTTGATTACCATTTCAATTAGATAAAAGCATTAACACTCCAGAGACATTAGTATGACTCCTACCTATAATCTTTCTGTGTGCTGGGCCTAACTCTGCAGAAAGAAACTCAAATAGCCAAGTAATACATGAACAAATTTTCAATATCTCTGCTATTAGAAAAATTCAAATTCACTCAACCCTGAGGATCCATGTTACTGCACAAGGGATGGTTATCATCAGTAATTAAAAACAAAAATAAAAAACAAGAAAGAGTGGTGAGGATTTGGGTCAAAAGACACCTTCTACATTGTCAGGAGAAATGTAAACAAGTACAGCAGGAGATTCTGTGTTCTTATGGTTAGACCTCTATCATCCTGGCCCACCAACTTGCACATGGAATCTCCAGATGTGTGGATAATTTTCCCCTTACAGGTCCTCCTCTCTGGAGATCAGGCCATTTCCTGAGATTGATTTCTTCTGTGTACTACTTTCACTCCTTCTAGTCACACATGAAAAATGAGTGGTTACTCACAGTTAGAGTTATTCCAAAAAGTTAGATAAGTTTCAGTAGAAGTATTTTTCCTGAGCCTCTGTCTGGAAAAGGCACTGGGTCTGTTTCTCAGTGGTCACTTTTCCTTTTCTGCACAGCTCTAAGGGATCACACTAAAACCTCACCTCGATATCCTAGGAGCTTCTTCAGGTGTCATATTGGTGTGTGACACCCAGGAACCCTCCTTCTCACCCTGCTCCTCTACATGTGCCAGGTTTCAATCATCTCTTCATCAGCATGTCTCCTCTCTGGGCTTCCAACTCCTGCACCTGAAACAAGACTCAGAAAGTGATCCCAGATCTAACTGCTGGCTAAACTGCTTTGTGACTTTTCAGCCTGCAATTTCATTTCTTTCATAGGGCCATGAAAAGATAATAAAGTTTTGAGACAATTTTCTGTACATTGAACCCACAGGGAATGCCTTCTCGTAACTTTCCCTATTGGAACAAAATCCAGATGCATCTTCATTGGACATATTTACCTCCTCCTTGAGTCAAAGTCCTACTGTCCCTACCTCCAAATGACATTGGGACTCAGCAACACATTAAATGGAAACACAATGAGTCTAAACACAAGCTTTGGAAACTTCAGGGATGAGGAATATGGAATTCAGGAGGATCAACAGTGCACACCCAGCAACATCTCAGGAGATGGAATGTTCCAGAAGGTGATCTCACCAGGCCTGGAAACAAGGGATACACCTTGGACACCACAAGAAACAGGAACCTTTATCCCTGAAACCTAAGCACACCAGTGATGATGATAGACCAGGTGAGGTACAGACCTGGGCGCAGAGCTGGAGGTGATTTATTAGCTTCTGGAATGACAGTAACCATGATTTCCGTGGGCATGTCTGAGGGACATGTGCAATATCTATGTGTGAAGACATCACATCAGCTCTGCCTTCTAGAAGCATGCATGTGTGCTGACTGGATATTTCAAATAATTTCCTTCTCTTCAGTGCACACTTGCTTCACAGAATGCCACAAGAAAAAGAATGATATTATAAATTATAGAGGAATATCTGAATGTTTTATAAAAATGTATTAAAAGAATCTGGGTAATGAATGCAAAATGAACTTATATAAAATAAAAATAAATAAAGCATAAACTGGAGAATGTGTTCAGGAAAGAAAAATGGATGTTATGAAACAGAAGCATTTATCTTTCATATTATCTATTAATGTACTGATATATACCTTAAAATGTGTACAGTTGTATTAGAGAGACAGAGAATGATAGAGACAGAGGGAGACACACACACACACACAGATAAAGAGGGAGAGAAAGAGAGAGAGAGAGAGAGAGAGAGAGAGAGAGAGAGAGAGAGATAGAAAGAGAGAGAGAGAGAGACTATAGTAAAATAATGGTGATGTTTATCTTATAAATTTCTAATTTCAAAGCTATCTAAATAAATTCTGACCAGTTAACATGAAAGAAAGAGGTCAGAAATGCTTCAGGACACTGCTCAGAGTAAAGTCCAGCTGCCCCTCTTCCTCTTTCCCTGAGACAAAGCTCTTCGTGGTGCTGGGCTGAGCCTGGAGTCCAGGTGTCCTGTGGTGGCAAGGAGAAGAGGGAGCTGCAAGGTCTCAGACCCTGTGCAGAGGGATGGGGATAATTTAATTTTCTAACCTGAAACATTTACTCCTGCAATAGATAACTGCTCCTTACGAGGCTAGAACTAATCATTTCATTTTAATATAATAATGATGTGACATTCAAAAGAAAATTTCTCAAAATGTGTTTTGAGTTTTATCACCCTTTTTAGTAAAACCATATGAAAGAGACACAGAAAATAATACATATAAAGAACAAAAACCTGTGCTAGTATCTTGAATCCTTCTTGAGACATCTGAAGAATGGGCATCTCCAGTCTCTTCCTCTGATCTTAATGCAGAAAGGAAACCCCAGAGGCCTACAGGAAGCCCTCAATCCCCTGCCTTCTGCTCTGCTCCTGCTTCAGGGGCCCCCTCTGGTCTCAGTTCATAAATCCCCAACTCCCCCTGCTGGTGGTGAATGCCGCTGCAGGGAGGTTTGTGTCTGGGCTCACAGCTACATTCTCTCACTGTGTCTCTTGCACAGTAATACACGGCCGTGTCCTCGGGTCTCAGGCTGCTCATCTGCAGATACAGCAGGTTCTTGCCATTGTCCCTGGAGATGGTGAATCGGCCCTTCACGGAGTCTGCGTAGTATGTGCTAGCACCACTATCACTGATAGCTGAGATCCACTCCAGCCCCTTCCCTGGAGCCTGGCGGATCCAGCTCATCCCGTAGTTACTGAAGGTGAATCCTGAGGCCAAGCAGGAGAGTCTCAGGGAGCCCCCGGGCTGCACCAAGCCTCCCCCGGACTCCACGAGCTGCACTTCAGCCTGGACACCTGCAAACACAAAGATATCCTTCTCAGAAAACATCATACATAGCCACTATTTATCACACTCATATCTATTTGCACAATCACTGTCACTTGTTTTTCATCAATTACCCTTTAAAATGAAAAGGAGGAAAACCCAACTCATTGTAAACTCCATGGTGACTCGTCAGTGCTCAGTGATGATCACCAAGTGGAAACACTTGGACTTCCAGGGCTGGGCTTCTCTGCAGAGCTGCAGAGTGAGGACTGGTTGGTTTTCATCAGCACAGGGAGGCTCTATTTGCATGGCCTCCTGCTATATAGTCAGTTCTATTGAGGAAGCCTCAGAGAGTGAAAAGTGCAAAGCACATGAGAGTTCTTTGAGAGGTGTTTGGAAGAGCCCTAATGTTATAGAACACTAGCTTTCTTCCTGTGTGTCTGTGTAGTAATGAATACAGAACTTCATCTGTTTTACTTATTCTTACATACATGTAGTTAATGGATTTGTAATTGCATATGTTTTCAAATATGTAGATAGAGTGAGAAGCATACTGACCTATGAGGTGTGAGCTGTATTTTATAAAACTTCCCATGTGTTTGATCCTACAATCCTTGCCACAGTTTTCAAGTTCTGACAGAGAAGTTTCAAGGCTGAGTGATCATGCTTCATATTTGTCAAAAATTTTCATCTAAACACACAACCTGACAGGAATTTCTGTGTTGCATCAGACTCATAAATGAATAGACAAGCAGTGTCTTTCTCAAGCATATGTTCAAGAATCTGGTGCCTCCGTTTGTTATCTCTGCATTAAGTTTTCCATTGTAAGTTACCTATTACAAACATATGCATTAATTTTAATGATGGATAAATGAGATGACTTTTGACACAAACTACCAACATTATAATATTTAAAAAACAATGCACACTGTTTAGATATTCCTCAGATCACTACTCCTAAATTCTCTTGTTGTATTCCTTAAAGTCTACTTTATTGTAGATTTTCCTCAATTGAAAACATTTATTACAGAATGAGACTGTCCATTTCTCTTGTTGACAAAATTAGTACACTAATATTCAGTGATGATGAACACAAGTATCATGTATACATCTAATATCTTAACATTCTTGGTCTGCTTTTCAGTATATGCAAGTTGTTATTGCCATCACACAGAAATTCAGGTGAAGGAGCTGAAAACAATACAGGCATAAATGTAATCTGTCATCACCAAGTTCCTTTCATTGCTTGGGCTGGGGAAAATTCATACAGGAAATGATGAGGACACACAGTATGTTGTCCACAGTATGTATGATGCTATCACAGAGAGGATATTCAGACACTGAAAGGAAGGCCTCAGTCCTTTGCCTGCTTCTCTGCAACTCATTTTTGACCCCTCCTGGTTCTCAAGAGAGAACCAGGAGATCTCCAGGGCTCTTTCACTGTCCCAGTTTCCCACCTGGTCCATTCCTCCCCTCACAACCCCAGAGGCCCTCTTCTTGGTACTGAGCACATGCCATTAGTCCTGCATGCTCCCTGCTGGTCCACACTACGGTGTACACAGCTTTGTATCTTTTATCCCACTTATCTCCCCTCAGAAACTCTTGCACAATACTGCATGCTGGTGTTTTCCATGGACATTGAGGTCAGTTGCACAATGGTTGTTGCCTTTGTCTTTAGACATGCTGAGTTGTCAAGTATGAATTGCAAGCTGTGTGTCCGCTATCAATTATCTTGACATATTCATTCGGTTTCCTTCTTGGTAGCTGAAGCATCCAGCTGCAGAGGCAGTGTCCCAGAGCTGGAGAAACTAGGGAACATCCAACTGGGAGAAAGGGACTGTGAGGGCTTCACTGGGCCAGATCAGGTTTCTTGCAGGAGCAGCTGAGATAGGACAGTGGGAGAACACAGTGAGTTTTGAGATCAGTTGCTGAACCTCCGTGTAATACTGTCTGAATTTTCAAGAACACACATCTGGGAACCAGCACCAGAAAGAGAAGGAACCTGCATTTTTCCACCTTTCTGAAGACTGCTTTTAAAATTATCTGCTTTTTAGGTGTTGATATGTATTCCCACAGAGAGAAGAACAAAATATTGTGTTTATGCAACTACTTCTGGGGTGGGAATATTATCACAGGCTCTGATAAATCCTTGAACATTTAGGAATGATTTGCTACTAGACTTATGAAAGTGCATACTTCATTTGTGGGTTTTATTACTAAGAAAAACTGAGAATAACTTTAATATTTAGATATAAAGCAATTAACTCAATATGCTATGTGAATTTATCTGTTAGCTCTTGAAGTATGTGCATATGTGGGATTTTCTTGGACATAAACTTACAATGAGACAGAGGATATGCAAATTTTGGGGACTGCCTCTGTGTGAAAGACACTAACTGAGCCCGCAAAAAACTCAGCAATGTCCCTGGAGTCCATTGCTCCAGGCACAAATATTCTACTGCATACAGGACATATGCTAGAAAAGATGGTCAGGGAGCTGTCTTTGTTCCCAGATGAAGGAAGGCCTTGTGGATATGAAAACTAGAACACATGCCCCATGGATAACAGGACTGTGCAGAACATACAGCATATGAGCATATAGGCTGTATGCACAAGACATAAATCAATTCACACTCGATGTGCATATGTACATATGTGTGTTAAGAACGTGGCTCAAATCAGCTGTCATTCCCCATTCTGTATTTTCTCATATCATCATTCACATATTCCAGGGTTTTGAGGCCCTTAGATAAATGCTCTCATCTCATTGATTTGGGAAAAAATTGCCTCAGACACAAAAGTTGTCATAAATTGTGTAGACTATTAAATATTTGACATTCATCTGATTGTATTTCTCTTTGTGCATGAGAAATGTACTCATAATAATATGTACTCATGGGTTTATGCTAAGATACATTTATTTTAACCTCAAAGTTCCTTACCACTTTTTTTTCCAATTGCTCAATAGATTTTTACACTTGTGTAGTGTAATTTCAGACCTTGATGAAATACAGCTTAGTTTTTTTGGAATATGTTTTTTCTGAAGGAAAGTATATTACTGTGAGGATATTTAGAGCTGTCAACTTGCCACTTGGTAAGGAACAATGCTGCATATTAAACTCACAAGTGACCACTGAACCTGCCACTAAAAGGCTCTCAGCTTAATTTTGTGGATAGTAATGTTCTTCTAGGGACTTTCACTCAGAGATTGAAGTCCACTTCCCCTTGACCATTGGTGCCTTGAAAGGTTTTCCAGTATGAAGCAGCAAGTGACCTCGTGATTCCTTACTACTGAGTTCCATAGCAAACGCTTCACAGGTTACCTAAAGTCAGTATGGAAAGATGCAGCGTAACAGTCTCATTCATTAGATCTCCTTAAATTATTCCTGTGTGAGCTGACATCCTTATCAATTTGTCTCTAAATCAGGATTCCTGAGTGAGTCATGATAGAGAGCAGAACCCAGATCCATCCCTCCTCACTGGTAGACTCTAACCATAGACACTCCTATGTGTGAACTGTGAAGAGGCACAAATGCTGGATGCAGGGGTCCCTCTGGAGGTGCCCTCCTTATCCGGGAGATACAAGCATCCAATGTCATCACACTTGTCGTTAGTGAAATTCATCTATTTTGGAGACAAAAAAGTCCATGGGAACTCTGACTTTGGATAGTACTACACACTTACTCCATCATACTAATGAGCCACATCTCCATTGGGACAGGTCCTTGCCTTTCTGCAAGGTGCCCTCTCAATTCCTGGGCTGCTGGGTATCCATATTCCAGAAATTCTTTATATCCACAGTTTTTCAGGAACAGAAACTTGAATCTAGTGTGTTACATCCTGTTCACCATTCTTAGTTTTCATTTTACGTTTTATTTTCTCCAGTCCGTATTTGCAGTATACAGATTGTATCCATCATGTGTAGTCAGCACTTGTCCATAACACCCCTAGGCTTTTGTCCCATTTTCCTGCCCTCCTAAAAATAGTAATAATCAGCTGGATGGAAAGGAGGTAACAGTTTAGTCAACAGTAGGAAGGACAGACAAAGAGATTAATAGGTTGCACATAGATCTCCTGAGGACAGCGACGACAAATGGACATAACTGTGCTGAATGTATGTAGAGCAGCAGTTGAACATTGACATACAAAAATATTACACTCTGTTCATTTTGTGTGGTAACTGGTTCTGGTCTTTAATACTGGACATCTCTACCTCCCTGCTCTGAGATAACATTTAGAGCTATTCCTTCATTCAGAATTGTGCTCTCTGTTCTAAACTGCATAGCATGGCTTTTTAGGTGTTGATATGTATTCCCACAGAAAGAATAACAAAATATTGTGTTTATACAACTACTTCTGTGGTGGGAACACTATCACAGGCTCTGATAAATCCTTGAACAGGAATGATTTGTTAATAGACTTAGGAAAGTGCATACTTCACTTGTGGGTTTTATTACTAAGAACAGCTGCCTGTGCTCTGTGTCATGGTACAGTTCTGGGTGAAATAACCAAAACTTTAAAAATATGGACACATGTAATACAGGAATAAAATCTGACTGAAATGCCTAGAGGATATGGGAGATGGGTGAAGTGATAACCAGGGACTGTGAGGGTGCTGGGTTTCATGCTTGGCTCTGCTGATGCTTCTTGACCTCCATCAGGCATTGAGAATATGAACTAAGGGTGGAAGGTGAATTTTGTGGAACATATTTGAAAGAAGTTAGTTCTTCCTTATAGTTATGTCAAGAATGTGATGCAACAGTGACACAGAGGAGCGGAAATGCTGCTGGTTGACACTCAGGTCAGGGGTATGCAGAGATGAACACATAGGAGCTTTGTGAGCCTCAAGTTTCCATTTTTCAGATTCCAGTGGGGCACAGTGTAGAAGATGAACACAGACACACGGCACCACGCTGGAGATTCTTTGTTGGCGATGCAGGTAAAGTTTAGGAAATATCAAATATAGGTTATGCAAAATAAATCTTCTGGAAGACAAAACATGTTAAAATCTTGATTACATATGGGAAAGCAGAGAGTTCATGAACAAAAATCAAACTGCACAGGAAATGCTTCTCAGAACCGACAACTGAGATCTTGTCTTATTAAAAAGTTCTTGCATGTCAAAAGAAATCTCCAACAGAGTGAAAAGAAAACTCACACATTGGGAAAATATCTTAGGCAACTGTTCCTCAGAAAAAGAAATTCCACATAGAACATATAAAGATTTTTTTTTTAAAAATCAGATCTGCAAAATTTAAAGGTCCAGTACAAAAATACACATTCT